CCCACCCGCCTGTTGCGCCGCCAGCATCAGCTTCTTCTGGTGGCCTGGGGATGGCACGGGGCATCAGCACCACCGCTGGGGGCTGGGGCCACCGCAGCCAGCGCTGCGGGACGGCACCTTACCCAGCTTGGTGATGCCGATCTCCTGCAGGTCCTCCCAGGTTATATCGGTGATGAAGTCGATGTTCTCGTAGCCATTCTCCACCAGCACCTTGTAGTACTGGGACAGGCCAATCATGGAGAGCCACAGCGCCAGGTTGGCCTGGGGGGGGCACAGGGCATGGCTCAGCACCAGTTGGCAGCTGGGTCTGGCCCCGGCACCACAGCACGCATGGGGTCTCCCCATCCTGCTGGGGTGCGGCCCCAGGGGAGTCCCCCATCCCCACGCTGTCCCTGTGCTCCACAAGCTCCCAGGGCCGTGTGCAGCCCTGTTCCCATGGGAAGCCCCTTGTCAGTGGGACAGGAGTGGTGTCAGGGGGACACATGGTGTCACATCCATGGGGTGACACCTGGCACCAGTCCGACGGTCCCCGAGCTGTCAGGAGGGGATGTGCCCAGCTTCAGGGCTGTGGGATGCAGGCATCATCTGGCAGTGGCAAGCCAGCTCCCGCCCTCATCCCCCCGTGCCGTCCCCTCCCAGGGGGGCAAAGGGGACTGGTTGCCACCCTGGATGCGGCTTTGGCATCCCCTGGCCCTGCACAGCCCTTACCGGCTTGTACTCCGCCAGCCATTCGGGGATATTGAGGTTGTTGATCTCGGAGGCAATCTTCTTCCTGTGCCCCGGCTTGGTGACACCAATGGCCGTGAGGTCCTGGGGCAGAGAGAGGGGTCAGTGCCGCCCTGCACCAGCTGTGCCCCCCTCCCCATGGCACCGGCCAGCCCTGTAGCCCCTGCAGCCTCACCTCTGGCGTCATCCGGCTAATGGTGGTGATGTCGTAGCCGGCATTGATGAAGTTGGGTGCGTAGAGCTGCAGCTGGAACTTGCAGAGCCACTGGTACACAGCCTCCGAGCTCTGGGGCGAGAGGGACGGTGCGGCTCAGGGCAGCCCTGAGGACGGGGACCCACCCCCCCTGCCCGTGTCCCCCAGGGCTGTCCCCACACCCATCTGCAT